CGGCACTGCTGCGTGGAGCGGGAGCCGGGGGCTCTGCGGATGGGGATGCTGCCAGCAGGGAGGGCAGCCGGGAATGCCGCGTGCCGTGTCAGCCCTTCCCGGCCGTGTGGGACGCGGTGCTGCTCGCCCGCCTGGTCTGGAGCAGCCCAGAATGGCTCTTTATTTACCATTTTGCTCAGTTTGCTGTTTTCTGCCATGTTTCAGGCACAGGGGAGGGGCAGAGGGGAGCTTGGCTGCCGTGTTGCCCGCAGCAGAGAGCTTTGCTGCTTGCCCACTTTGATGCTTTGGGACCTTTCGGATGCGGCGTTTGCTGGGGATGCCGTAACCCCCGCATCCCTGTGGGGAGAGAAGCTGCACCGGAGCAGCGCCAGCTCCTTCCCAGCCCTGGAGCTGAGCGAGGCAGCTCTGCATCTGGAAGCACCTTGTGGCTGCTTCCCCAGAGAGGGGGGCGTGAGTCCCTGCTCAATCCCTGATCCTCTTGTGGGCTAAAATATTCCTTTAAGGCAGGCAGAGGCTGTGGAGATCCCATTCCCCTTCCTTTTCCTTTAGCACCTCTTTGCTTTCTGCCCAAAGTTGAGATTTCTTTTCCAGCAGCCAGGTAAGGATTTCCCAGGAGGGAGCATCCCCGCTGCCCGGGGTCCTGCACGGCTCTATCCAGGTGTTAGGTTGGTGTTGGGCTCTGCTCTGCTCCTCTTGAAGCCTTGGGCTGCCAGAGCAGGGTGCTGGCCGGGCTGCTCTGAGCTCTGCCCCTTCCTCCTCCGCACCAAAACGAATTCAGGATCTTCCCCGGGAAGGAAGTGACATGAATTCTCTTAGATTTTTCATGCTGACCCCGAGCAAACAGGAAATCAGAACAGATCCAGCTGTGAAAAGCGGATCGGTGGCTGCCAGTGTCTCTGATAAAGGCACCTGCGTCTGTTCCCATTTCTTCTTTTTCCCCATCTTTTTGGGCTCTCCTACGCTGCTGCCTGCAGCGAAGTGGCCCCGCAGCGGCTGCTCCTTTCCGTACGTCCCGCTGCACGTGCAGCTGGTGCGACGGGTGTCCCGTGCCCAGCGCCTGCCTCTCCTAGGCATGTGTCTCCCTCTGGAACACGCTGCCAGGGCAGGACTTGGAGCCATCGGCAAGCATGGATGCAGGAGAGGACAATCCCAGGCACAGGGTGCCTCATCCAGGCTCGGTTGCAGACTCCTCCTAACCCTCTTTCCAGGGCTGCGGCCGGCATGGCGAGCTCGGACACAAGCGAGCCCGAGTGCTCCCTCTGCGAGGAGGTGCTTCCCGACGAGCGGCGGAGGCTGGCCGTGGAGGAGCTCCTGGCCACCGAGGCGAGCTACGTCCACAACCTGCAGCTGTGCATGTCGGACATCCGGGCCCACCTCCAGCACAAGCAGGTAGAGCCAGGCTCCTCCGCACTGCGGCATCCAGATGTTCACAGCTGTGCTCCCGGGTGGGCTGACGGAGGGCTGGAAGGGGCAGAGCGCCCGAGCCTGCAGGTCTGGGTGACTCAGAGCCTTTCCCTGCTGGTTTGGCTGTACCCAGATGCTTTGGGGAAACCTGATTCCCACCACGTGATGTTTCTTTGCTGGTAACCGTGATGCTGGACTAAGATACGAGAGGGACCAAGTCCCCTTTCCAAAGCAGGCTGAGCAGCTGAGAGCCATTCAGCAGTGGGCAGGTGAGTCTGCAGGGTTAGGTGAATCTCTGCGGAGCTGTGAAACACTCAGATCCTCAGCAGACCCGGCCTGAGGGTTGACGGAAAACAGTATGTGCTCAGCCTGTTCTTCTGTCTTCCCCAGCTCCCATGAGCAGCCATAGTCCTGGGCTGTAGAGACACTTGGATGGACACTGGCCCAGTACAGTTGTCCTAATACTACAACCTCTACTTCTGTATCATTAGAAAGACCTCATTACCCTGCACAGGAGCAAAGACAGGTCTCAGTATTTCCAAATAGCTCCTGAAATGGAGTCTTGCTCTCAGAAAGCTCCTCAGGTAACAGGGGAGGCAGGGGGAAGAACACTAGGACATAGGACAAGCATGTTCTACCTCTGTCTAACTCATGAGGCTTGTCCTGGGGCAACTTGATTCCTTTCAGCTGCCTGATCTTGACCTGGAAGGACTCTTCTCGAACACCGATGACATCCTCCATGTCTCCAGACGGTTCCTGGAAGGCCTTAAGGCTGCAGCTGACCAGGAGTCCGAGCAGCTGCTCTTCATCTGTAAGTGGAGCAGGAGCCGGAGAGCTCTCCCAGGCCAGGACCACACTGGTGCTGTGATCTGTGGGATCCCGTACGAATGGACTGGGCTTTGCAGCTTCGGTCTCCTTCCGCAGGTGCCCTATTCCAGGAGTTCAAGGAGGAGATGGAGACTGTCTATAAGATCTACTGTGCTAGCTATGAGCATGCCCTGATGCTGGTGGAAAGCTACCGGAAGGATCCACGGCTGCAGGAAGAGATTTTGGACACCCTGAACACAACAGTGTAGGTACCTAATGCTGAGGCCACCGGACCCCATCTCTGTTTTACGTACTGGGTTTGTCCTTCTCTGCTGCCCATGCGGGCACATGCCCCCAGAGCCTGGTCAAACCAAGCGCTGTGGCCATCACCCTCACAGTGACCTGGGTCTAGCCCAGGTCCTGTCCTAGAGCTGGGTCACAAAGAGGTGACCTGAGCCCGGAGAAGCAGGGATGGCAGCGGGGACATGCTGGTCCCGTGTTTCTGGGCACAGCGACATGGGAAGGAGAGGAGCTCCCCGCCGCCCCCGGCGTGGCACCGATGCCAAGGCCGTCAGCCGAACAAACGCAGCACTGTCCAGTGCGGCGGGGGCGCACGCGGCGGGGGGGCGCGCC